CATGTTCCGGAGAGCCTGCATGATGACCTGTATATGAGAGTGCAAACACTTGAGTAAACTAGCGCTCATACCCATATTAGTTGTGTAGTCAATTGTGCGGGGTAGGGTGGAATTAGACAAATGAATCGAGTGTTGCTGGACATGTCGATGTATTTTTGTTCAGTTGGAGGTGTCTAAATATATATTTGGCCAGGCCTTAAACGAGACAAGTTAACTCCACAGATGGATAAGTCCCGGTCAATCTATCTCTTCTTGCAGTGTCCCCCGGGCAGATGTCAGGAAAGAAAACTCCAGCCCAACGCACCTAAGGTGTTAGGAACAAACTCCATATTTGGCCACCCAAATAAATTTTAGGAAATTGTCTGTCTTCGTTTGGCGACCTGGCCGGTGGTCAACTCGTCACCACCAGACGAAAGAGTCAGTTTGCTCTGCGGAGCCAACCCGAACACATTATTGAAGTTTTTGGATCACATTAAAATGAGAATATGGGAGCTAGAAGGATATCCTAGGAAAATTAGCTGACACATAATGAGAAAACTAAGCTATGCATGACTAACGACGCGAAGTAGGTAATCTTATTTGATGTGACTGCCAGTATCGTGCGATGAAACAAGATCTTACTTGAATTTGACCTTACCACTCATAAAAATAGAGAAGTGAATGACTTAAATTAAGTAGAAGAAAAATCATAATGCATTGCACAAGGAGGGATTTCCAGTTCCGTCCGCCACCGACGACAATCTTATTACAAAAACATATTTAAGTGACACATAATTTTGGAGCTTTTATGACCGTGGGTTAGAGACTTGCATCTTTTTTGAAGAATGGTAGATATACATTGGAAGCCCTTTAGACGAGTGCATAAAGACACGGGTCTAAATACGTGTAATTTCCAAACAAGCAGACATATAAGGATTTAACGGTAAAAAACGCGACGACCTATCCAGTGCTATCCGTAGGTGCAGAACAAGGCTAACAAGTAGGGAGAACATGAATTGCCTTAAAAACGTGCTGCGTATTCCTTAATCGACAAGTATCAGTTAGTAGGCCATCGACTACTTTTCTGGTAGTTATAATTTTCCCGATAAGATATTTAAAAACAAGCAAGACGTAGCAACCTTCTGACACTACAGTAATATTCCTACGCAGAACAAAACAATTCTCAGAAAACATAAGTGAGTTGCAATTTAGAGATCAGTGATTAGACAGGTCAATAATCATTCAAGTCCGACGATATTACCGTTGGATACTTTCCAATTGGTTTTACGTCATATGTGTCTTTGGCCGCTAACTAAGTAGAGTTTTCACTTGGGGAGGACGTTTCAGTGCATACGATACATGGACAGGCTGAGCAACATTTAATTTACCTAACTCGTAAAACCTAGTCTTGATCGAACACAACAACAACGGTTTTTACTCAAAATGGTTACTCTGGGGAAAAGGGTTTTCTGAGCGTCTACTATACAGTAGTGTCAAAACTTAAGAAGAATGGAGCCTGACAAATCACCAGATAGAGCTGGACGCGAGGAGACA